ATAATTTCTTTAATTTAATTTTATAAAACTTCATGGTAAACAATATCTTTTAATTTGGTTTCAATCAGTCAATGTATGGCTATTTTATACTGTGACAGATGGATGAAATAACAGGTAACAGAATTTTATAGATAGATAGATAGATAAGTGCATTGTGCATATTGTTAAATGCTTGATCTGTACATTTGATATTTTCTATTGTATATTACTGTTGCTTAAAAACATTGCTTACATTGTAAATGATTAAGTATATTAAACTGACAAATGTTATTGTTGAATTATTATTTCATATGCTATGGCATCATTGCCACTGTAATTTTTCAGTAAACTTCCTTCCCTCACAATGTCTTGCCATATTTTGTCCTACATTTCCATGAGCAGGAAGTGTTAGAACCATTAACATGGTAGTTAATTACCGCAGATTTGACAAGAACAGCATATAATTTGATGAGAATAAAACAAAATGAAATACAGATACAGACATAAATATCTTGCACTGTTTATGATATTATATAAGCATTATATAAGATATATTTGGATAGATGGAACTCGTCAGCTTGGGAGGGTATTCCATCTAAGAGAAGGAAAACTCTGAATTTAAACATTGCAGTCATGTCCAATCATGGGAAAGGCTTCAGGAGTAAACCCTGGAGCCAGAGACCCTAAGACAGTTTGTTGTTATGTTCAGCTTTATTCTGGTAACTCTTGCGATAACACCAGTGCTAAGCTGTATTTGCGTTTACCTTTCCCTTGGACAACATAGGTGCTGTGGAGAGGGGAGACATGCTGCACAGGCAACTGTTGGTCTTTCATAAGACTCTGCCCAAGTCTGCATCTTGGAGAGGATAAATTGTCAATGTGCTACTCTATGGCAGCAAGACTTGGAACATATACTCCAGACAGGAGCGATACCACAGTGCCTTTCTTTTTCACTGTCTGAGATGATTTCTGGGTATTGATTGATCTGACTGGGTCAACAATGCTGTAGTTCTCACCTGTGGCCAGTTATCCAGCTTATATGCTCTTCTCTAACAGTGCCGATTCCAGTGACTTGGATATGTACATTGCATACTGGATGGGAGAATTCTGAACAGGGAACTGGCTACTGACAAGAACACACAAAAGCAATCTTATCTTTGCTTCAAGGACGTCTGGAATAAGGAACATGAGGATGATGGATATAGACACTGAAAAGTGTGAAGACATCATCAACAATTACTTACTCTGGAGACATATTTACACTGGGGGCTAGAACAAGGAGAGGAGTAACAGAGGCTTTCTGCCAGTGAGAAGCATGCACAATGAAAAGAAAACAGCAACATCAGAAGAGAGCATCTTCCCATGCATTCATTGCAGTTGAGACTGTCACTGCCATGTGGGCCTGTACAGCCATAACAGATGCTGCACCACGATCAGCATAACTCTTTGGGCACAGATCCATGATCTCTCAAGACCAATGGATGCCACATATAAGATATTGATTTACTAAGCATATTTTAACTCAATGTAATAACAATTAATTTTGGTTGTTTAAAACACAAAAATCCATTCCAATTTCAGAAGCCTCATGACTATATTTTTGATAATAAGAATTCAAAATGTTTATTTATTTAAAACAATATTATTTTCTGTTCTAAGTATAATTTTTACCCAATCAGTACACAACAAATGTATCACACTTTTACTGAATGATAATGAGTTTCGTGGCAAATTCAAAATTTTTTATCTCTATTATATAGCATATAAATGGGAAAATATACTAGTGATGTTTCTTATAAATCTATAATTACTGCATTATAATAAAATACTGATTTTTGATGCATATATTTAAAAATACTCAATGTACCCAAAAGAATTATTTACCAGTTCTTTAGATAAAATGTATTTATCATTAAGTCATTATGTTTTGTTTTTTATCTTTATTTATTTTTAAATAAATTCTAACAAGCAATACTGTGAACTAGACAACATACTTTTTGGAAATTGAACCTTACAAGTACAAGATTATAAGAGATTTGCATAATGTTACCGACAATGCGCTTCTCTTTATATCTAAATTTAGCTGTCCAGTAATATAATAAATTCAGTAATCGAGTTGAAAACAATAAGAGGTCCATTTTATTAATTGAACTATCATTTGAAAATTATTTGGATAGTATAGCTGCCTTGTTCCAAAATTGTTTTATCTTTAAGTTAAAGTTATACTATAGAAACTGTTAATATCTAGTGCTGAATTTTAGTTTGTTCTCTTCTGTAAATTAACAATTAGCACAAGCATCTAGCAAAGAAATCTAAAATAAAAAAAAGTTTTATAATAATTTCAAATTAAGTTTTAAATGTTAATTAAAAAATATGTCTAAATTGTTTTTCTTAATGATTCATTATCAAATAATTCTGATAATTACAAATGACTAGGTTAATGAATATTCAAAATATTTTTTTTGATGAACATTTTATGCTTTCCATTTTTTACCTAGAAAAATATTCTAATAATTTGACTGAGTTATAAAATTTTCTTTATCATTTGTAAAAATATATAATTTTGTTACAACTGTTAGAATTTTACATACAATTTTTTTAAAATAAATATTCTCAAAATTTTATTTTTCTTTCATTTTAAAATTCAATAATAGCTAAACATTAACAAAACTCTAGTAACAGATCTTGCATACATGAGAGCAAAAGATATGCATTTATATCATTTCTAAGTCATACTAAGAATGTATATTGGTATCAAAGATTGAAATCCGTCATATTAAATCCTGTAGTTTATTAATTTTGTTTTTTACTGTTTTTCAATAACTGAAGACAATAATTATTTAATAAATTCATAGAGTGAATATTTTCAAATAGTTTTAAAAACTTATTTCTGGGATTACACTTATTCTAAAGTTGAAATACCTTCTAATAAATGAAATCTCCAAACTTTGATTGGAGATTTCCTGAAGAATAGAAGCAAAATATAATTAAATATTCTTATAGAAAAAAGATGTCTTTATAGTTTTTCTTAGCTTTTTGTATAAAAAAAAAAACTGTCAGTATATTTTTTTCTTAAAATATATATTACAACTGAGATATCTATGTTAGGTTTTAATGTGTGGAGAATGAAAATTAACTGTTGTCATTAGAATAGTTGACAGCAGTCTTGCAAATGCATCTAAAGTCAACAAATAGTCATAGAAAATAGAATTGCTGACTATAACACTTGAGTTATGATTCCTACAACAATGACAGTGACAAGCTTCAAATTTGGGGTTTGTGCATAATAGTCTTGGATTGTATAAAACCAACTGTAAAGATTTAAATATCTAATCCAATTTAAAAGACCATTCCAAGCATAACACTGATTACGTTAGCCAAGAACAACAGAGAAAAAAGTTGATTGTATAAAAGTAGAGGTTAAGCCTTACCACAAATAACCTATAATGTTTTTTTGTTTTTTGCCTTGTTACCGAGAGCATCTGAGAAGCAATCTGGTAAAATGGCATCTGACATTAAATTGCATACAAAGTAGCGTTGTATTATTGAATTCCTCTATTTGAAAAAAATTGCACCCACTGACATTTATGCTTACTGAATATTTATAGAAACCAAACAGTACATGTGAGCACAGTTAGGCAATGAGTAATACATTTCAGCAGTAGCAACAAAGATGTGTGGGACAAGCTAGATTCTGGCAACTCTCTACAGGTTTTGGATCATTGTGTGCGAAAATGTGGAAAAATAGCGTTTTTTATCAGCTGAAAACTCGGTCTATTCAATGGTGTTAGTGTGCTCCCATTATCTGTTATAATTTACAAGGAAATAAAGAGGAGGCATTACTTTCAGAGCATCTCTCAGAGAACAATAAACATTATAAGTGTATGCCCAAAGTATTACAACCAAGTTACCACTCGATGACAGAAATTTGTTTATAAAAGCCTTATCAACTTCAGTTATAAGTGTACAACCAAAATAACAACTTACAAACTCCAGTTAATTATATGTATCAATATTAACCCACCCCCACTTCAAAAGGGAATAAATTTTATCATAAAATAACACCATTCAACTGGTGAGTTATTTTTTATATTATTATTATTGAGGCAGCGATAGTATTCAGCAAAAAACCTTTAATCCTAGATTCAAAGCACTTAAGATATATTCTGTTATTTTGGGTTATTTAAATATTAGGCACAGAAAGAGCAAAAGAAAAAAACAATTTAAAAAAAAAAAAGAGAGAGAGTAAAACAGAAACTGAGCATTTCAAGTGAATTCTTACCGTCATGAAAAATGCCTTATCGTGAGAAAAGACAAAATAATTTCCTAAAAAATATAGAATTTAATATAAAAGGTAATCTCCATTTAGAAAGGCTTATCTACAATGCAATCTTATAAGTGAATTTGAATTAAAATACTCTATAGCAATTCTAAAGTTTTAAATGTCAAATATAAATTATGTGGAAAACAAGCAAATCTCAGGTAAGATTTAAACTTATGCCAAACAACTACTTTTGATATCAAGTCAAAGATTTCAACCATCCAGACATGGTTGGTAATTAACTCATTGCATGTGAAGAGTGCTTAAAGCAAAAGTAATAATTTTTGATAAGGTTAAATAAGTTGTTAGGATATTATTCTATTTTTATCTAACATCTAAAAGCTTCCAAATACAACTGGATTCAAATGTTGAACTTGGTATCTAGACTTGACTCTCACATGATTTATATTTGAACCAGTTCAATTTTGCAGTCATATCAAGTGAAATGATAATCTATACAAAAAACTGAAAGCAAGAAAACTCAAGGTTTTCATTTCACACTTCTATTGTTGCCAATATTACAATATCTTCCTTTATGAATTCAGTTTAGCACATTGCTTGATGTGCAGAACTCATTTATACATGCTTGAAACCTTTGCAGAAAAAAAAAAACATTGACTCATTATAATTCATGTAATTTTGGGGAGACAATTTTGGATGCTGTAATGTCATGATGTTTATGCTTGGCAGATTTCTAACATCAGACCAACCTTTTGGCACTGTGGTTCTGAGAAGATGCTGCAGACAAGCGGGTTGTTCGTTTATTGGTTGTACTGCCTGATGATGCCACAGAAGAATTTGCCAAATTATTGGCATTCACAGCAGCCACACGTGAGGTCTTTAATGGAGAAACAAAACCTTGTGAACTCTTCACACCAAATGCTTTGAAGGACTGGCTGGATGACCTCTTATGTATTTTCGTTTCACTGGAACTGGTAACATAACAAACAAAACAGAGAAATCACATAACAGTCAAGTACTGGCAATCACCTGCACCTTGGCTGGTTCTGCATCAAAGATGTGACACTCCCTACAGTGGTTATGTGTATGAATCAAATGTTTTTGGAATGGTAAACAATATAAAATTGTCTTCAGAATGAATTAAGAAAATGAGGATGCAAGAAAATAATATTAATTCATTGAAATAAAGCAAGCAAACATTTTAGAAACTAATTTTACTCAAATTGAATTTAAAGAAAGAGAACTTTATTTGAAATGAAATATTTGCTTGGTCAGACTAAGAATTATAATTTACAAAAATCCAAACAATATGAAATGAAAAATTCTGACAAATGAGATTCTTTAAAAGTAAAATTGTAACATTGCAAATGAATAAATAATTGGAATTGTGAATTAAGATTGTGCAGTAAAACTCAACAACAAAAAGGAACAATTACTTTATCAAGGTTAATAAAATATGAGATAATTTGAAAACAACAAAAACAGCAGCATCAGCAAATACTGAAAAATAATTGTAAAAATAAAAGTGAAAAAAATTTTTTTCTTTTAATTATAGACAGAATTTTGATGTCAAAAGAAATAAAAAAGTAAAAAAAAATTGGCACAAAATCTGGCTAGTTTTATGAGTCTGTTAAAGATGCCATCAAAAAAAGTAAATTATTTTTTCATTGAGTATTCAACGCACAAAATTGAACTGCCCAGGCCATAACAGCTTCTTAATTATGAAAGTGGCTCATTGAATTAGTAAAACAGCATGCTCTTTGAGAAATGCACAAAATATATGAAATATTGCTGAAGCATTGATAGTAACAACAAGAGAAATTACTTACGAAATGGTACCAGTTGTGGCAGATCTTGTGTGTTTCCTCTGGGCTTTGATTTGATTCAGTTTATCACCCTGAGTGCTAAGTTTCCCACCTTTGGTTGGATACTTCTGGAAATAAATGTCAGCTTTCATCAGATATCTAGCTTTATTTCAGGCTTGGAAACAATAAGTATAACAGTAAATTCAGATAATTTGTGTGTGTGTGTGTGTACAAGGTGCAATGGGTAAATTGTTACCATTTTATATTTTTAATTTTGCACATGCACATTGATTGTTTTTCATTTTGTCAACTGTACAGCATAGTAGGGTCAGTTGGGCACCATCTGTGAGAAAAAGAGCACCATGACTCAATTCACTCCACCAGAAATTTGGAAACAGCATGCTGTACTGCTTGGCATTTGTGCCGGAAACTCCAATACAGGCGTTTCAGAGTGTTTGGGTGTCAATCTGAGGACAGTGCAAAGGATTCAGAAAGAGTTGGATAAGTCTAATGGTGATTAAAAAGGTGTTTGGAGTGATCACTAGTGATGGCGAAATTATCCCTCCAGTCATTTCCCCACTGACCCTCAGACTTAACACATTGACCGAGGGCAGCTGTTGGAAGACCCTATGTCTGGCAACAGGACTCTGCACCATGTCACACAAACAGGAGAACCCAATTATGGCTGTCAGACAATTTCTGCAATCACATCACTACTTACATCTGGCCACCCAACTCCCCAGACTGCAACCCCCTTGATTATGGGGTGCAGTTGTGCAAGAGACCAACAAAAGTCCTTGCAACACCAAATATCAACTGAAGACAAGGATTTAAACAAGCAGACCATTCAGAAGTTGCAGGAGATTCCAAAATTGTCTGGAGGTCATGACTGAAGTCAATGGCAATGATATTTTTGTGTAATTTTGGTAAATAAAACTGTCAGTGTTATTTTCATTTTTGTTTAATTTAGACAACAATTTATCCATCTCACACTCTGTGTGTGTGTGGGGGGCTTTGTAATGGGCATTTAAAATATATATAGGTTCTAAAAATTAAAGGAAAAATGCCAGTAATTGAAATCTATGTATGGAGGAGAAACTGACAAATCACAGAATTCAAGAATATGAATGGATTAATAACGAAAAGGACTGAAATTATTTCAAGCTGTTGTATTCTGATACATTACTCTTGAAAAACATTAAAATGAACTATAGAGCTCAGGAATGTCCAAAGGAAACAAACACCCATTTTAAAAATCACACTGCATGAAACAGACTGTTAATGGGTAAATAACCCCAAAATGTTATTTTTTATGTGTGTGTGTGAAAAGACAGAATTTACTAAGAGCTACAAATGACAGGAAATTGCGAGGAGCCATGATTGCCAATTCTTGACTTTGTACTAAATGCTTTACATTATATGGAAAATAATGAATGAACAGCCAGCCTATAATTAAAGTGAAAGGAAGCAAGGGTGCTAGTACATTTGAATGTTCCATCAGTCATCATCAAGGGGGAGGCTTAGAAAAATATAAGTTACAGATTTTGTTTCAGTCTTTTGAAACATATTTTTGAATTAATCAGTTAATATTTGAAATTATGGTTTTTCAGTAATGTATTATAGCATGAAATGATGTCATGTAGTTTAATTTTAGTTGAGATTATAAACACTTTCACATGTGAGCATCATTGTTGAAACAAATATTGTTTATAGATGGTGCTTTTTCTCTTAATGTATTTTAGAACCAACAAGATTTGGACTTGATAGACAAGATTTGGGATTTTGTCACTACTCCACAAATTCATTGCTTAATATATTCTGCACTAACAAACTAAATATTCCTCATGGTAGTGTAAAATATTTTAATAATTACCTACCAAATCTTACCATTTTCAACCTTAAATTTGTTTTAACAACTTTGTATTAGCACCTATTGTATATTGAAAATTAAGAAATTAATGCAAGTATTACTATCAGAATTGGGTTATTACACACACACACACACACATATATATATATATATAATGCAAATGCATTGCTAACATTTTGCTATATAAATACATTGTAAACTATTTTACCATATAAATGTATTAAAAAAAGAGTAAATATGTTCGCCTATTGTCCAGTTGACATTCTTCCCTAGTCTTTTGAACAGGATTAGAGGTTTATCCTTTGTTTTCTGTCTAAGATTGGGTTTCCAGTTCCTTATAAAGTCTTTTTATTCACTTTCACTCCCAGTAGCTCCTTGAGTCTTAGTGGCATTATCACCTTGCTTGGGTTGAATTGATTAAAAAAAAACAGGTAGAAAATGATTGTCAGTGGCAAGGAATTAATATAAACATTACTAAGAGAAAAGAGTTGTTATCTTCTGTTTGTCTTGTCTGGTTTTCTGTACATCTGCAAGTCGAGAGTGTTTTTCCTGACTGAGAAAAAGCTGGTATTATATAGCTCTCTCAGTCCCAAACTCACACTGACTATTGGCTAAATACCTGCCCAGTATCATTCAATTTGCAAATTTTGTCAGCGCCACCTAAGTAGAATATCCTCTCTCAACAACCAATTGTGGAAGAGGACATAACTCCTGATGCTTACTGCACCACATGCAACCGACTCTGGGCCTCTTGTCAGGTTGACCCAATTCTCCGTTATATATCTGTAGTCAGTTTCGCTGTGCTTGGAATAAAATTTCTGTTCAGAAATTTGTGACAGATTACTTCCACAACGAAGTAAACAAATGACAAGTCCAAACTCAAAGATCCAGGTACAGAAAGAAATGTTGAATCTTGATCCACAGGTTCTGTGTCACAAATCCCAATACACATAAACAGTCAGAAATCCAACACACCAGCCGATGGACATTGTAACAAAATAAACAAATTTGTCAAAAATTTGAGAAATGCTTTTATCGACAGAACAATTTATTCATTGGTCAACAGGTGGGAGATAACACACAATATTACCATATCCAAGATACATTTATGGCAACACCTGTGACTGACTTGTTTTTATGTTGGATATTCTTTCTTTGGCATATTATGCAGAACACATACCCTCTTTCTCTGTAAGTAAATTTCTTTTTCACTACTTTTTCCAACATATAATATAAACTACATGCTATCACTTGGTTTGATGAGGTAATTCACCATTTTGCTTGCTACAATCTGTATAATGTTTCATAACTTTGTCATTAATTTTTTTCTTTTTGATACTGATGGCAAATTACAATCTATTTTCATATTAGATGACCACTTGAAATATTTCCTCAATTATAGGAACAATAAGGCCATTCCAGGAATTCCAAGGTGTTGCAACAATATAAGTTATTCTAATAAAGTTGATCAGCACAATTTCCTGAAAACTAGAGGATTGCCAGGAGTGTAAAATATGAATGTTTCTGTACTTGTAGTTTGTTGAAGACTTGCAGGATTCAATAAAAAGATGGCAGAGAGGATAGAGTTATTGGATTTATACTTCTTGATTTGTCATCTGCAAGCAGTACACACAGACAAATGACTTCAATTTGCTCACCTCATTTCCATTTTCATCATCCCGTTCATACAAATCAAATGAAGGTTTATCATTTTCCAAGCTGCTGATTCTATGATCATTAATTTTCATATCATCAACTGCAGACATGATCTTGGATACGCTGTTGTTTTCATAGCTTCGGTCACGATCTTTTAGCTTACTACGATAAAGCTCTCCTTGCATCCATAACCAGGCTTGTTTTCTGTAAATAGAATTTTATAAAGTTAGCAAGAAATTCATAAAGTACAATTTGCATAAATCAAAACACAATCAAATAGGGGAAAAAAAGACTGTAACTTGGTGAATAAAATGTAAAGTTGTCGGATCTGTCACATAATATTCTTCTTGATACAAGAAAACCAGCAAAAGAATTCTATCATTATCTGTGTCATGTCATAGGCACTTTTATTCCTAAGATTACCAAGATATTCTGAAAACTGATGTGGTTAAGTTAAGAAAGCAATAAGAGGAAAATGATCCAGTGTATGAATCAAAAGAAAAGGCAATAGAAGTTTATATACATTCATATGTACATTTAGAAGAAGACAATGTAGCATTACTCAAGAAAGTAAAAAGAGTTTGTTTCCTACAGCCTTTGAACAAGACTGTTTTTATAAAAGAGAATCAAGAACAACTTTTTTTTTTTTTAGGTGGCATCTACTGTCATATATTATGTGTAAAATGTAAGTGATCCAGGTCTTTTCTCCAAAATGTTGTTTTTTCATAACTTTTCCACTTGTGGAGAGAAACCATAACCAACTGAAATTGTATTTCTACACTGTCAGCATCCTACTGGTAAAAGAGTAAATACAAGATCCATCCATTTCAAAAACTCAAGATATGCTGTTGCCAGTCCCTTAAGTTTTCTCTGTTAATTGGTTCTTCTTCTGGTGACTCAAAAGAGTGGCTAATCCCTGGGCACCACATGTCCTTGGGTCCCTAATAAACTTTATGTACTCATATCTTATTTTCTTTTAAACTCAAGACAAGTGGGGAAACATCACATTCTACTCTTTAAAGGTTTTATCAGAAATGTAAATAAATAATGCTTCTACTTGACTCATACAGATGTTAATCTACCAATCATATAAACATAAAAAGTTAGTCTTATATCAGACAGATTTGTCTTTCTTTCTCTTGCAAATTCAATAAGAGTGTGTATCTAAATCTTCACAGGTTTGGGCAGTTATGTTTTGATTTGAGGTTATTAGCCTCACATAACCCATCACCAGGTATACTTTGCAAGTTATACTGTATACAAAGGAATGCATGTATGCACACATATTTATAGCATTAATATGTAGAATTAAAAAAATGGACAAATAAATAACTTACTCAACCAGAAAGTTCTGCTGCGGGCCAATGACAGATCCCGGTCGACAGATCCGCAACCAGGCAATGGCTTCAGCAGCTGTAAATTTGTAGTGTTTCATGATGTAGCAGGCAATCAAAGTGCCAGTTCTACCAAGGCCAGCTATCAAAAAAAGAAATAAATAAAATTATAACCACTTTAGTATTAGTTTGGAATTAAATAAATAGCCTTTTTTGCATTGTATTAGTGAGTTTTTACATACACTCCATCATTTCCTTCTCTTTATTCATACATCTATATATCATTTTAAAGGTTTGTATTTACTTTTTAGGTGTTGTTGGGATGAACTTTTTTATAGGCAATCAAAACAAAGGTGAATAAACATTTTTTTCATGTTATTATGCTCCATGAGTCGAAATTCAACCATTGTGCTTCTGAAGTCACCTGCATCTTTAACAGTACTTGTGGGCTGGGAAAGCTTCAGAGTAGACCATACATTGTTTGCTCCTTGTGGTCTGGATCTCCAAGATTAGCCTAATCATGGTTGCAAGTCATTACTCAACAATGAAGAAATGAAAGCAGCAATGATAAAGGCTAATCTGGAAACAGTGGGAGTAAAGCTGAAGGTATGGCTTCATAAAACAGTCTGAAGACATCTATAGCAAATTGGCAAAGTTACCAGTAAAAAGATGAGCCCAAAATGCTATTTACAGGTCAGGGACACCAAAATGAAGCAGGTGCAGAGATTTAAATATCTAGGAAATGTTCTGACAGAGCACAGTAAGTGTGACGCTGAGATCTGAAGACATATTGGGATGGCCAAAGATGCATTCCAAAAGCTAGGCAGAGTATTACAAGACAGGAGGATTTTGTTGGTAACAAAGAAAAGAGTACTGAACTGCTGTGTGATATCTGTCCTCCTTTATGGCAGTGAATGTTGGACAGTTTCCTCAAGGATGAAGAAGAGACTCAAAGCAACAGAGGTATGATTCTAAAGAAGGAAACTGAGGATATTATGGACTGAACATGTGAGCAATGATGAGGTTTTGGAGAGGATGCAAACAAGGAGGAAGCTTATACTTAACATCAGGAAGAGGCAGCTGAAATTTCTGGGACACATAATGAGAAAGAAGGGCTTGGAGAATCTGATACTCACAGGGCAGATAGAGGGAAAGAAAGACAAGGGAAAGCAACACATGACATAGCCAGTGGTCAAGTAAGTGGATGACAGAACAGGGTTTGCAAGAAGTAGCAAAAGGACAAAACATATTGAGAACTACAAGGGATAGGGGAAAGTGAAGAGCCATGATCACCTACATTCTGAAGTGACTTGCACATAAAAGAAGAAGAAGCAAATGTAGAAGTGGGTACCCCATGATTTGCTTGTTCATTTCAGAAATGTTTTTTTTTTCTTGATCACATGTCTACTGTTAATGAAAAGTGATTTTTTTCTGATGATCAGAAATATGGCTTACTCTGAGTTAACAAACTTGCTCCCTACACAAATTACCCAAAATCAAATTTTCAAACCAAAACGATTCTGCTGATTTTTCCACCTGTAATAATTTAGAACTGATGAATTCGAAGTTACAAATATTTTAGCCAGTGATAGTGAACAGAAAGAAGTCAGTCCTGCAGTAGGATAACAAACATGACATCACAGTTCACAAACTCCTCTGATGCAGTTAGACATCAAGGTCCTGCTCCACCTTTCCTATGCACTAGATTTATCCACTACTGATTACCAGTTCCTGGGCCTTAGATGCATATACATGCCAGCAAGTGTGCACCAATGTAGACCATGTCAAAAATACTTTCCAGCAGTTTATCTACTCCCATGATTCTAGTTTTTATTATGATGCAATAAATTCACTACTGGATCATTGATAACATCATGCCAATTCTAATAGTGCTTACTTTGCCTAATAAAGAAATTAGTGAGACATGTGTTGAAGTTTATGTTTCAAAATAACCATTTACTTTGTTCCAGCCAAGCATAAATTATTCAAATAAATAACTATCATTAAATATAACCTCAAGTTTATTTACAATACCACATAAGAACTAATCTTCAAAGGAAAATCTACAGACAAGTATTTAAAAAGGAAGTTTCTCTACATATAATCTGATGGAATCCAAACATTTTGATAAAACTAACATACTTCTCTATACATTTTGGTCATAGCTTAATAAAATAAAAGGGAAATATATATTTGAATGTCTGAAGTTTCTAAATTGGTTGGTCTCTTTTCTCAAATTCACAGGAACAAATAATTCATATGTAAACATATCAGCAAAACACACCAACTCCTGTTTCTATGAATTTAATCAAATAAAATTATCAAAGAAAGTTTAATTTGCAGTTAAGGCTTGTTTGGCCAAGATCCAATTAACATTACTTCAATTATCAATTTAGCCATTACAAAACAATACCATTTGTGGGTTGTCAAACTATTGTTCTTCTGTCACCGGGGGATGGATGGGAATTTGCCCCCCTCCCCTGAAAATGATATGAACTAATTCTAGCATGCAAATTCTTATTCACAACCCCACAGACTCAAATCCTGTTCTCCACAACAACACTCAAAACACAGGTGATGGGCTTGACCCTGCTTCATCAGCACAAATTATTGGCATTTTACTAAATCTTAGTTTAGTCTGACACAAGGCCAAATACATGAGACACCTCATGATAAACTTGCTGTAGTTGTTACAGTCTGCTAGGCTAGCCTGTTAACCATTACATCATGGTGAGGCACCCAATAAGTACAATTCTGGAACTGTTCTATTTTATAAATTCAATTTCTACATTCAGTTTTCTAATTTTAATGTTTATGATTATTTATTTTCTTTTTAAAGGTATCTATTTACATATTCAATGTAAATAGAAATGTCATACATTGAAAAAAATCAATCCATAATGTATTTCAAAAGGAAATTGAACATAGAATAGGCTGTGCCAGGGATAGTTTTGCCCAACACAGCAAATTGCCACAAAACCAAAACTTTAACCTGAAAACTCAAGTCAAATCAGATCAAGCCTTTCATATGGATGTAATGCATGGCACCAAACCCATTTAGAAATATCTAAAATGTCAGCTGTATACAACTGCTTTCTAAGATTAATGGTTATAAAAGGCTTTGAGCAAATGAAGTCTGAGGTTCTTGGCAAAGATCATCCTTTTTTGAACATTGTAGACTGGTGATACCAATTCACAAACAATTAACTGTACCAAATAATAGAAACCACATCACTTGAGGACTACCAACAGCAGCAACAACTAAATGGATAGCACATGTAACTCAAAGAGAAAATAATTACATCATCAAGATGTTGAATTCCAAACTACTTAAAAAAAGGTTAGGGAGGAAACCCCTATCAATACTGGTAAAACCTTTTTCCTGAAGAATTGTTTTAAGTGAAAGATTTTAGAAACTTCAACCAGTACTTCAAATCAGTACTAGCTGCTCAGTCAATGAATATACTAATCTTTAAGAAGTGTCTCTCTTGTAAATCAGCACTTGTAATCCTTGTTTTACACTGACCAATAATACCAGTTATTTAAGTTGTCTATAATTTTTATGGCATCTATCACGCTTGGTACTGACCACTGTGTAGTTCTATATAAGTTGGATTCTAAGAATGTTAAGTAATACTGATTAGAAAGAATATGCTTTCCAGCAGAACATCAGCATCAAAAAGAAAAATGCTACTTTGGATAATTGGCTATTTTGGAGGCAAACTGAAAAATAAAGTACTTTTAAAATGTTCTGATTCTAATATTTAGTAAATTAGATATTTTATTTAAGAACAATTATTTACTTTAAAAAAGAAAATGATAATTATACTATTATTTTGTTTGTTTGTATGTACAACCATCATGCTTTGCAAACAGGATCAGACTCAATAACCATTAGTTAACTGACACCCCAGAGAAGTGTCTGTTACGAGACTGCCTTAGCAATCTTATGGCTTAATAATCTCCACACTTTCTTTTTTATTATCTCCCCCTTTTTCTTTCTTTCTTTATCTCTTCACTCTTTTGTCTTAATATCTCCCATTTTTATTTCTTAATCTCTTCACTCTTTCTTTCTCCATCTCCCCACTATTTCTTTCTTTCTTTCTTCATTTCCTCATTCTTTCTCTCTCCCCACTCATTTTTTCTTCATTCCTCCCTCTTTCTTTCTTTCTTTCTTTCTTCATTTCCTCACACTTTCACTCTCCCCACTCTTTCTTAAGCAACTCACTCTTTCTTTTTCTCCTATTTCTTAAATGCTCCACTTTCTTTCTTTCTTTAACCCTATTCTCACAGTAATATATGTGAAAGTAATGATGATATCTTAGTTGTCAGCACCCATGGAATTTTCAAGGTTCTAGTGAGTATTTTTGATTTTTGTTGCTGATGTTCTGCTGGCCTCAAAGCAAAGAAAAACAGATCAACAAAATAATTACAAGAATTCAACTTCAATATGTATCTGCTTGTGAAAGTTTTTTAAATTTAAATGAAATTCTTCTTTAATTCAACCATCAAACCTAGAAGTAAGCAGGCAAGTAATGTATTTATTAGGCTTACAATCTGATGTTTATAAAAAAAGGACAAAATTAAATTCTTGATTTTTCATCAGTAGTCATGCTGCAGCCACTATTAGGAGACCATCTCCAACTTCTTTCTAACCTTGTAATCCAACTCCACTATTGAACCTTTCTCTCATCATGGCAAAATCTATCAACTTAAGATTTTGTTTTTTTGTTTGTTTTTTTTTTAGAATTACTTAAATTAATCACTTGTATATTTTTTATTTTAGCAAACAAAAAAAAAACATACTTGTGTTAAACCACAAACTCAAAATTCAATATTTTTTTTTATTTTTTTAGAATCAGAAAGTCAGTTCAAATTTCTGGGACGCATGATGAGGAAAAAGGGCTTAGAAAATTTGACACTCACAGGATATCTCAAAGGCAACAGTAATAGAGGGAAACAGCAAGTAACCTACCTAATAAGTTAGTGGAAATGGATGGCAGAACAAGGAGTTGGCAGAATAGTAAAAAGACAAACATTACTAAGAGCAACAAAGGTAAGGAAGTTGTGGAGAGCCATAATCGTCCACGTCCTGAATGGACACGGCACATAGAAAAAGAGCAACAAGTTTAAAATCAGTCACCATTTTGAATATTTTTTCAACTTATAATTCATTTCATTATTATAACATTGTACCTACCAAAAATGACAGGTCTATAATTTAAACATCTAAAAATTAAAAAAATATTTATCTATCTAATACACACTTAAGCAGTGTGACATCTTCTTCAGAGGTTACACTCAACGAGATGAATGAAAGAAACTTGATAGTGAAAATTTAAGAAAATGATACTAGTGCATGTACAAAAATTGAAGCAATTAAAGAACTCCTAAATCCTCTCATAAAGAAATTCAAATTTTTGTCAATGAAGTCACATGCAGTTTCTAGTGTACTTCATAAAAAATAAATTTGTTTGTTTTCAATAAAATATTGCAAAGTGTTTACATTTAAAAGGTTGCTGGAAAGTTCTCAGCCCAACACATTTCTCCAAATCTGACTGAATGACCAAAAATCAGATTTTTCTTCTTTTTTCTAAAACCTTTCTTGGGCATCCACTCATATAATATTACAGAAATGATAATAAAACTGTATTTTACATTTACTACATGCATATAACATATAATTTTCCACAATATGACATCTTCTTCAATTGCACAGTCAAAACTGTGAAAGTAAAACTGAACTGTTCAGCGTTCTTGGAAGGAGTCCAGATTTTAATAGAATTGAGAATATCTGAAGATTCTGAGAGTACACCACACGAATTCAGGCATGAATATGTGGGTGGTACAAATAACTCTGGTCCATTGCCAAGAAGAGAATGTTGCCAAAAATTATATTTGCTTTCATTAAAACCTACAAGTGTACATCAGTGATTCAACTTATGAGAGTTTTCTCTCTTCTGATTATGTTACAATCAATTTGTAGCTTAAAATAAATTGGAAAGTTTTTGTAGACAAGGTGAAAATGCAAATAAAACTTTAGTGCTATCTTTTCTTTAGATTTTCTTACATCTTGTTAAAGAGAGAATTAAACTCAGGTTTTTTTTTTTATAAAAGTCAAAAGAGTAAGTTCATGCATATAAGAATTTATTACTTCAAATGTTATTATAGTGGACACTTTGTATTTGAAATAGATGCCCCAGTGTATATTATGTCTATCATTGGGCCTGATCATAGAAATCTTAGTAAAGAAAATGTGTTTTCTGGCAGGAATAAAATCTGTGTCTCCCTTTGTAGGAGAAACCACTGTATAATCTAGTGTGCTTTACCACTCAGCCACAAAGAACATCATAGTAAATATTTGCACAAAAATGTTACTTTGAATATCAGCATGTTAGCAATTAGGTATTATGAATACATAACATCAAATTATCATATATATATATATATATATATATATATATATATATATATATATATATATATGGTGATTGTCAAATCTCACTCAGATGAGGACCATCCTTCAACTCTCACATCATTTGTAATGGCTTCTATCTCATTTCAGCATCCATGGCTCCTAAGATGACTCCTGAGACCAGCATTCAATTTCATAGGTATCAGGCATATATAACAAACAAGCTCTGTATCCTTGTTTGGGTTGATTGCATTTGCATGCCCTATAACTCTACTGTTGACCACCACACTGTGACACCAGCTTGACAATTGCCAGTAGACCAGAGGGAGGATGGATGAATGACAGTTGACATTTGAGAAAATTATTACATACACTGATTCATAATAGTTTGTAAGATGTACTAAAAGATATTACAGTAAATGTTACAAGAGCTAAAAAAAGTCACTGAAATGTATTTATAAAATAAAATGTATAATTATTTGCCATGAAAGTAAGATTATTTAAGCAATAGATATTTTATACCTTTAGTAATATTAGGTATCTGCATGTATTATGAATAAAACTTTTGTTAAGTGACATTCTCCTCTTAGTAATCAATAAAAATAACAATAATATAGTTTTTATTATACATAGTATTTGAAATGTTGTCAACATGACAATAAAGATAGTGACAACTGTCCGAATAATGTAAATAAATATTTTAATCATGTTAGTCAATATGTAACATTCAGTCCTTCTTTTTTAATGTTAATCGTAATTATATAATACTTTTTTTAGTGCTTATGAATTGAAACCCACCAAAACCTGTTATGCATTTTAATTTAAAATTGTGAAGAAATAGCAAATGTGTAAGAAAATAGTTCCTAGTAAAAATTCAGCAAATATTGGTAATTAAATATTAAACTTTATATTACTATTTCATTTGTCTCCTCACAAGCATTTTATTCTGGTAAAACCTTCAAAATTTATATAGAAAATATCAAGACAATTTCTCCAAAGGAAAAATTTTTTTTTAAATAAACAAATAAGTTAAAAAAGCAACCAAATAGGATATTTTAATTCAAATCATTTTTTATTGATTATATGACCTATTACTTTTTTTGCTTGAATTCATCTCAGTGTTTCAATTTGATTTTGTTTGAAATATGAATATCAAAGATGTCCAGAAAAGCTTGTAAAAGTTAAAAAGGCCTTTTCCTTAATATCATAATTATTTTAACTTTCTGTTCATACTATTTTTGATTTCATTAACAATAGATAAAAACTCAAGTTATTAAAAAGCATAATAATACATATAGGAAATTCTGAAAAATATTTTTAACCTAGAAAAACACTTTCTAAAACAGACATTTTTATTTTGAACTAATAAATATTTGCAAGTCAACTTGCTTAAAATGTTGACTATTTTGTTGGGATGCCAAGCAATAGCTGAACCAGTAAATACAAAATTGTTTAACCTTACTCATATGTTTACTATGAGAGTAAACTTGGTACAAGACATTAAATGACAACATATCTGCTTTGGAGAAGAAAGAAAGTTTCTTATTGATTAAAGTTTTGCTAAACAAGTTTATTGGACTGAGGGTGGCAAAGGTAAAAACAAATCAACAAATATAAACAAACCAAATGTAAAACATTTCTTAATTTAACAATTCATGCAAACAAGTATAATTACTAAAAAGCCAAAAAATGCTTATAGTTTTAATTCATTCATTTAATTTTTTAAAATTAAGTTTATCAATTTATTTTTAATAAAAAAAGATGATTTTCATAAAAGCAAAAGAAGAAAATTATTAAACATATTTTTTAAGAATTTACCTTTGCAGTGAATAGCAAGTGCACCTTCACATTTCTCACTAATTTCCAAAAATTTACGAACAATGCTGTCAGTAGGCACACTGCCATCAACAAAGAACAAATCATAATGGTCAAAACCGGCATCGGTAAAACGCTTAGCATCATATATTTTCTTATTCAGGCGAACAACAGCAGTTACAGTGTGTTCACGAAAGTATGAGAAATAAGCCTCTGGGGAGTGAACTGGATAGCCTAGAAGAGAGAAAAGATAGATTTTATTTTATAGATGTATTTTTTCATAGGAAACAACACTCCACAAACAGCTGAGCAGTACTGAAAAATAAAATTTTAATGAAAACATTGTAAATTTATGACAACTTCAGTTTATGTTAAATTTGTTACTTTATCTTTCAATTAATTTTGAAATATTCTTTCTTACAAGATTTCAGGAAAATAACACCTAGTTCATAAGAACCAGTATATATGGCTATTTTCAACTTAAAAAAAACATGCCAAAGACAGGTTGTCAAAGACTGAATTCAAGCCATTTTACAGTTTACTGTCATCTGCCATGAGTTGGAAAAGAGCTTAAACTATATAATAATAGTCCGCCATGATTTGACAGAAGCCAACTGTAAAGTCAAAGTGGGCATCTGCACTTCTCTGCACTTATGAATGTATCTTGATACTTTTGGACAGATTAGTGATGACTGGTGATGGACATTGGGTATTTTATACAAATATAAAACAAGACGATGGTTTATTAGATAAAGATATACAAGCAAAAGCACAAGCCAAAACAGACGATCAGCCATGGAAACCAATGCAGTTTTATTAAACACCAAGTTTAATAAATCTGCATTGGTGTTGTTCATTTTGAGTTGCTATCAATCATTGTTATGATTACTTCCTTACTAAATTATTTTATATCATTTTTATATTGGCAGTAGTTAGAATACTTAATCACAGCTTTGAAGGAAAAGAAGTCAATAGAAAAGGTGGAGTGTTCCATTATGATAATGTGTGACTCTACAAGGCAAAGATTACATCTGGTTGTTTTAATTAAACATGAATTTTTGATATTTTCTATTTTATTGACACTAATTTTAGACATGACTTATTCAATGACTTGATACAAGTAAATAGTACACACATATCAACAAGCAGGATAGCAAGTAAAGGATATTTACTTTATTTTGTATTGTTTTCTGCTATAATTCTTCCTTACTAAATTATTTTATTTTTATATCAGGTTTTCTTTAAACTCATACTGTTTTCTTTTTTATGCTTGTTAAATTTGCAAAAGGAAACTTTCTGCTATTAAAATATGTTTTTTTTTTTCTATCAATACATAGCAGTTTGGAAAAATAGATAATATTTCATATAAAAATATTTTAATAGAAAACAAATTTACATGGACTTAATCATGACTTTTATTTCTTATGTTATTGTTCACTAATCAATCAAAGTGAACAATAACATTGAGAGCAAAGCCTTGATGAAATGCCATTTGAAAATTAAGTTAATCTCAGTTGCTTTATTTAATAGAATGCTTGCTGCTGGTGTTGTTGTTGCAAGTTGAAATACTGTCACATGGACTCATACTAAAGAAACAACAGACAAATAATCCCAACTAAACAAATGAAAAGGATTACTAACAGCTATTTAAAGGAGAGACTCTAAAAATATATTTGCAGTAATGATATATCATCATCATTAGTGGAACATGGCAACACTTTTTTTTTTATCAAGAAACTGATTATTTTTTTTCTTTCATTCATGTAAAAAATGCTGCTTCTTTTTTCTTTTAATCTAATAAAGCTGATATTTTTTATTTCTTCATTTTTCTCACAAAACTGTTATGCAAATACAGAAAGTATTTTTTTTTTTAGTGAAGGATGGTCTTAAAATTTGGTACATTCTGGATTATCTGCATTAAGCCAGTAACTATCAGCTGAGAATTAAACTCTTTTTGCCAGATTATAATCCAAAGTTGAAAAATAGTCTGTTAACTGAATATGTTCAACAGTATTCAGTGAGAGACAATCAAATGTTTAAGAAATAAACATACTTCTAAAACTTGCAATTAGGAAAAATCTTCTTGCAAACTTTATGATTTAAATAGATCCCTGTGACTTTTCTATAAATATTTTCACAGTAGTTGTTCTGATAAGCTTTCCTCTTTGGTACCTCAACTTCACAAATTTAGGCACAGTACTAGATTGTCATTTAGGCCTCATCATTTCATGGTTTAAACTGCTAGACATAATCATAAGTTCTATGCTAATAGTTTCTTCTCTCTTGTGGAACTCTCTTATGGCTTTTTACTTTCCTATCAACTACGGATTTCAAAAATTTAAATGCAACATCAATCATCATGTTCTGTCTCTTAGAATCCTTTTATTGTCCTCCATCAGTTTCTTTTATTCTCAGTAACCCCTTGTGTCATAATGGCTTTTATCACCTTACTTGGGGTGAAATGATTAAAAAAAAAAATCATATTATGCAATTTGCATATCACATCATAAACACCAACTTAACCTTCTTTATAATTTAAATTTCAATATATATTCTCAGAAAAATAAACAAAATTAATCATAAATTAATCCAGAAAAATAAGCATAAAATACTTAAAAAGTCAGACTGATAGTAATAATAATTTACATTATATATATATATATATATATATATATATATATTACTGATAAGGTTTTTATATAATAATGTTTATATAGTAATATTTTAATATAATATATAAGGTAGAAAATAACATTAAATATTAGAACGACATCTGAAAAAGTAAAGAAAACAATGAAAAATAAAATCACATTATCACTTAAGCATCTATAATAGATTTAATGAAGTCAATACAATAGGTGATGTGATTCAGCTAATTTTTAAGTAAATAAATTTTAGTGTTACAAATAAAACTATAAAAAAGTTTTGAATTTACACGATATCAATGTTTTCCACTCAGATACACTATTCAATTTGCTTGTTTAAAGAACAGATTTATTTTATCCAAAATTAATACAATATTATTTTAAATAATCTCAAGAACTTAAACAGACATACATTGGATTAACAATAACTTCTATAATTTTCTTATAAATTTAATTATTTAATTTTTCATTCTGTAAAGATAGAGGTTTGACTTTAGGAACACAAATTATTTAAAATGAAGATATTAACATATTAATTACAATAACTTTGCCTCTGTTCATTCAAATATAAAATGTATTAAATACTAATCATATTTTAAGGATGTAAATCTGGATTCTTGAGACATTTATATCTACTATTTATAGTTGTCTGTTTTGTACATGACATTGATCTTGCATGATTATCAGTTTCTTGAATGGATATTTGTTTCTTTGGGCCAACATTTGCTCATGGTTGCATCCTTGGAACATTTAGTAAAGAATAAACTCAGAATTTTTTTTAATCAATTCACCTCAAGCAAGGTGATAATGCCACTAAGACTGAGAGTGAAAGACAATGAGGAGACTTGGAAGAAGGAACCAAAAACCCAATCCTAAACAGGAAACAAGGGAAAAAGCTTTGTGAATCAATCTGATTCACAACTACATAAGAATGGTCATACAGTGGACATAACTTTGGAAAAATAAAGAAGCATAGTTAAAAAAAAATATTTTCATGAAGAGTCAACAGTTTTGGCAGGCCTCATATGATATTTCCGAACATTCAGAGAATAGAATTGATGCAATTAAAAAGCTGTCATTACAACAATTTATGTTTCAGTTTCAGTGAATGAATATAAAATGGTTGTTCAGATTCACAATAAGTGAACAGTGTAAAAACTATCATTTATAATGTTTATTCCAAGCACATGATGGAAACATTGAACTGAGTGGAAGAAGATAAATCAGAATCAAGATTTTTTGTAAGAAACAGAATTGTCAAATACTTCAGTAATGAACAAAAAATACACATAAACATGTTTTTCCTTCAAAGAAAGCTGAAAAAGTGAAAAAGTGCCATTCTCAGAATTTCAAACATTTAAATGCAAAAAAAAGGAAGAGGGGGAAGAGGAGAAAACTGTCTAAAAATCTAAAAGCAAACTCATTTCTGATTGGCTACCTTGTATATTTTTTTTCGCTAATCAAAATTTTTCCTGCTGGCATTTGTATTAAGTCATAAAAGTGCTTATATTTGTAATAGGTTTGTATGTGAGAAAGGGGGAAGTAAATGAATGAAAAAAATTGAGATCATCTGTTTGGTTTTTGATCAGCATCCAATACTGAAAAAAAGATATTCCTGGGTCACCACCAAGTGACAAGAAGAGTGTTAAAAAAACATAAATATCAGCTCTAAACATTAACTGTAAACAAAAACAAAAAAGATTGAACTTTCAATACTGAAGCTTTTTATTTAAATATTTTCTATTTTGAAAACATAACTGGCTATATTTTATGTAATCAAAAAAAGTCCATTCCCTAACAAGCAAAACTTACTTTAGGAAAAGAAGTAAAAGTATTTTTAAAGAGTTTAACAAGAAAATATAGTAAACTTTTACTTTTATTTAAGTATTTTTAAGGATTAATAATGTTATAGAATGAATAGTACATTTTTTAGGGTAAAAAGTACCATTTATCCTTTCTATATTTAGCAATCATTCCAGTGAGTTAATTTTCATAAATTAATTTCATTCACTAATAATATTTTCAGTCAAATAAATTAGACAGTAAATAAATTTTAACTCATGACTATGCCATAAGAGTAAATTTACTCAAGAATATCATTATAATCTATTTACTTGTGGAAAAGCTTTTGATTAATGATGTGTTTCACCTTCATTAGGTAGTTTGACAGACATCTTCAGGTCAGAATGAAGGACAAATCTGCATGTTTATATTAAAACTGTTAATTAAATATTTTTAATTACAATGAAGGCAATACACATCAATAAAGAGGTTTTCCACTTTGATTTCTCCACTTTTGTTCAGATTACATATCCTACTAACACACAATTTATTTACTTTTAATTATTCAACAGCTTGTTTTTTCTTTTTTAAAAGCAGGTTAATACAATATGTATAGATGTGTGTGTGTGTGTGTGCGTGTGTGCATGTTAGGCAAATGAATGACAAAGTGGAAAATTTCTGTGTAATGGCTTCATCCCCTAGAAGGACTTCATTGGACTAAAGTAATGTTTTTATTGATGGATTTATATATGTGTATATGGAGGGAGAGAAGAAAATTGCAAGCATCAGTTATAATTATGTATCAAG